CCAGTCCAAGGACTGAATTAATTTTGGTCCAGTCCAAGGACTGAATTAATTTTGGTCCAGTCCAAGGACTGAATTAATTTTGGTCCAGTCCAAGGACTTAATTAATTTTGATCCAGTCCAAGGACTTAATTAATTTTGGTCCAGTCCTAGGACTGGATCAATGTACTTCATCAGGTATCCAGTATTATCATGTGAGCAAACTAAAGCAATATGGTTGGCTAATTTACTCATGAATTATTAATGAATTTGAGAAGGAGGGCGCGCTAACTCCAAATTCAAAACTGTATAACTTTGCTAATTAAGACCTGAGGAGTCACAAGACTACGCACGCGTAAAAATCTCACATCTTGTAGCAAGTCTGCCAACAAGCTGTCAACAAGTTGTGTTCGCATTGCTTGTCCCAAGTTGTCAACAAGTTTGGAACAAGCTGTTAACAACTTGTTGTATAACAACCTTGTTGATATCAGACTTGTTGTTCCAACAAGTCCGATACAGTCATGATAAAACAATATTGTTACAACCTTGTGTCGTCAACCTTGTAACATTCTTGTTATAGCATGACTGTATCAGACTTGGTAGCTTGTTACAAGTTCATGACAGCTTGTTCCAAATTTGTTACAACAACTGGGAACAAGCAGTGCGAAGACAACTTGTTGACAACTTGTGAACAGATTTGTAACAACTTGTTTGCAGACTTGTAACAACTTAATTGTGCGTTTTTACGTGTGTATCAAAATCATGTAAAGGCTCCACTTGTTGTGACAGTCTGGAACAAGTTGTTATCACCTTGCTACAAAGTTGATGACGCTAACAGACTTGCTACGAGTTGTTCCCACAAGACTGAATACAAATTACAAACTGTTCGTATACGTATCAAGTTGCTACAAGCTTGTTGTCATCAACTTGTTAACAACTTGTTACATGCAGACGATATCAGACTTGTTGGAACAACTTGTTGCGAGTCTGTTGGCCTCATCAACCTTGTTACAAGATGATAACAACTTGTTCCAAACTTCTCAACTGAACTGGGAACAAGCAGTGCGAACACATCTTGTTGACAAGATTTTTATGTGTGTAGTTCGATGGCGCAAGATGACCAGTGTTTGGCGTTTCCCTCGAACGATTTATCAGACTCGAACCATCTTATCTTTGCAGTGTAAGTGTACAGTCGAGTGTAAAACAACTCCTGTTTGCTCAGGATTGACACTGTATCTAATAAGTTTAAATGAAATCGAAAATTCTTACCTCGCGTTAAAACAGTGAAGTACGCGACAACAAGAAGCAGACTAACATGAACGAATTTCATCTTTCCCTCGTCTGAAATCAGAAGGAGCTATGTTACGTAACTAATCCATATATTTGTGTAAAGATATATTGCGAATTTATTGCACATCTCGTTCGATAGAACTAATAGTAAAATGGGCTTTTCTAGATGGAATATTCGAACGCAGATTTAAGGGTTTAATTCCTGCTGAGGACCTATATTTGCATTTTTCGCAACCGGTTCTTGGTTACGCCTAATAAAGCTACTAAATTTGCGTTCGAATATTCCAGTCTACAAAAAAACCATCTACTATATATGTATTTGGGTAATTATATTTAAGGTTGACCACACAAAGTTATACAATACAATACTAGGTTTCGGCAATAGTTTTTGAATCTAAAAAACATGGAAAATAATTCCTAGCTTGTAAAGTAAGGTAAAGAAACAACAGCATAATACTGTGTTCGTTGACGTTGTAGTGTATTTTATAATTTATAGCACGATATGATAGAAATATTTATAAACAGTTTTTTATTGTTTTAACCTTAGGACCTGAAATAAAACTCGACGGAAAACTGTCCTAAATATTTATAATAGTAAAATGTACTTACAAAGTTGCCGTTCTGCTGAGTTTACTGTTCTGTTAGACTATTCAATTACTTGACAAAACATTTCAAAATGATATGACGGCAATCGTGTTTGTTAGAAGACGGTATTTTTGAGACAGTATCCAATTGAAACTAAATAGGGACAGGTTGTGTTCCACCTCACTGCACACATTTTAAACACCCGTTAGTTTACGCGCTGCACAATGCCGCACATGTCAGCATGAGCCCATATTGTACAAGTGAAATCCTGACATCGTGTTAAACACGTTAAAAGAGATCAAGTTGTTAGAGATCTGCAAACAAGTTGAGAATAGGTTTCTGCTACACATGTAACAACGCACAAGTTGTAACAAATTAAACCTGCAGCGGACTTGTAGCAATGCTGTTCCAACAACTTGTCAACAGGATGTGTTCGCATTGCTTGTTCCCAGCTTGTTGACAACTTGCTACAAGGTTGTTCAACTCAACAGACCTGTTCAACAATTTTTCAACAATTTGTTCAACAATTTGTCAACGAGTTGTGAGTGACAACCTTGTAGCAACTTGATAAAGTAACAGCATTGCTACAACTTGTTGACAAGCTTGCTACAAACCTGTTGCGAACACATCTTGTTGACAAGTTGTGAGTGACAACCTTGTAGCAACTTGATAAAATAACAGCATTGTTACAACTTGTTGACAAGCTTGCTACAAACCTGTTGTGAACACATCTTGTTGACAAGCTTGCTACAAGCCTGTTGCGAACACATCTTGTTGACGAGTTGTGAGCGATAAACTTGTAGCACTTTGGTAAAATAACGGCATTGTTACAACTTGTTGACAAGCTTGCTACAAGTCTGTTGCAAACGCATCTTGTTGACAAGTTGTGAGATGTTTACGTGTGTAGTCTGAAAACAAGTTGTAACAAGGTTATCGTGAAGCCGATATGAGGATGCGTTTGCACCGTTTGTTCCAAGTTATTGTGACAAGTTTGGAACATGTTGTTATCACGTTGTTACAAGGTTGATGACGGTAACAGACTTGCTACAAGTTGTTCCAACAAGACTAATACAGGCTGTTCGTAACAAGTTGCTACGAGCTTGTTGTTAACAACTTGTTACATGCAGACAATATCAGTCTTGTTGGAACAACTTGTTGCGAGTCTGTTGATATGTAGGCCTACCAAACAATTATCGATATGTCCTCGAGTTAGCAAGAGAATATATTATAGAATTTTTCAAAATTTTATTAATGAAAACGTTTTACATATAGCTATTAAAACTGCATAGTGTTTTTAAAATGTCAAATATGTTCGATCAATCAGTGTCCTGATTATGCATCACCAGTAGTTATATTATCCGTTTTCTCCAGAGTTGCGACTTCTGAACTGCAGAATCGTTTAAGTTTGATCTTCGGTAGATGATCCAAGTTTCCATTCCAAGCTCTAAAGAAAAGAAAATAATATTATTGTTGTTGTCGCTGTTGTTGTTGTTGTCGCTGCTGCTGTTGTTGTTGTTGCTAATTGTTGTTGTTGTTGTTTACCTTAGCAATTTAACATTTCCACCTGATGTGACATCTGGAATTTCTAAAAGAAGAAATGGTAGATTAAAAAATATATTAGTTGTTTCTGTTTTATTCTCTTTGATGTAAGCTTTCACACTTGGTATAAAAGATTAAATCTAGGCGAGTCGACCTCCTAACAGACTTTTGTAAAAAAATGGTTTTAAAACAAGAAGCTATAAATAAAATAAGGTTTGAAAATGTTCCAAACATTCAAGTCATCATCAATTGATCTCACGCCCCAAAACAGCATAATTTGCGCGTAGTATTGTCGCTGTATTCCACCCCTCTACCAATTAAACATTTCATCTCAATTTACCAAATCCACTAGATTCGTAAACTTGTCGTTCTCTCTCCAAAATCATCTTGATGTTGTTTTCTCTTGAAAATTTTGCTCCTGCTTGTTGCTGCCTGCCTTTTATCTTTTCACCAATCCTTAACTGTTCCAATTCCGCATCAAATCTCTTGAAATATCTGAGAAATAATATTAAAAACTTTGCTGTAGTTTCTGTGAAACATGCTTGTGAAACCTTCGCCTCTCAAAAAACATTTAATATATTGAAAAACTGTTATATATATGCTGTAAAATACATTGATTTTTTTTGGAAAAAAAGTTACAACAATTTTTCAGTGTGATTTTTGTCAAGGCATTTTAGGCACTGTGTAATACTTAGATCCTCATTTAATATTTTTCGTGTAAAAATAGGTACGTGGTGCGTACATGGCCAGTGTTTAATTACTTTAGAAAACCAAAGCAACTCACACATTAATTAAATTGTGAACGTCTTGAATGGAACAATTTTTTTCCTCTGGTTTTATGTGATCTTTGAACCATTGCACTTTATCAGCAAGCGACTGTAAAATAGCTGTTCTCTCTGACTTTTTCCTGAAAATGTTCAAAGCACTTGGCATCAGAATATATTTTATGCAACAAAACACAAGGTTAATCTGATTAATGGACAATGTGTCCACTATGGAACATTGATCATTGGTCCAGATTGATGTACTATATACAGAAGGAACCCTAAATCAAACTAATAGTTGATACAATACCTGTCAACTCTGTCTTTTCTGTGGGCATTTCTGATCATCTGAGCAGCTTTTCTTGACCTGGGATGGACAATTTTCTCTGACACTTTAACTTTTGGGGCTTTCGGCTTTTAGAGAAGAAATATGGTGACTAATAGCTGTGTTTGGCTCAACTGCAGATAAGCTTTTGCTGATAACTTGTCCAAGACAAGCACAATCAGACTATTAATGAGATAACTGAATAAAATGTCTATTGATCTGTACATCAATCTTGTCTTCATTGGTTTAACCCATTATGTTGCATTGTGCCCTACTCATTATTTTACTCTGTCTAACGCCAGGCAATTTTACTCATCAAGGGGAGAGCGCTGGTACTCAATGGGTTAAACTAACTTTATTTATACTGGATAGCTCTATCAGTTCTAAACTGTTCCCCCTAGAGGTCCAATAAGGATCTTCTCTTACCGATCCAGTGTTACTGCAGTAGGAAACCTAAACTAAACTAACTTTATTTATACTGGATAACTTTATCAGTTCTAAACTGTTCTCCCTAGAGGTCCAGTAAGGATCATCTCTTATTGATCCAGTGTGTATGTTTGTCATTATTTGAAACATTATAAAAATTCTTCAATCTCATCTTTTTTTTTTCTTTTCTATTAAACTTACTTTAAGTTCTGACCAATCAGTGTAAATAATTAAATACTTTAACCTAGGGGTCTTAATCAAAAGCCTTTGTTTGGTTTCTAGTAGACCTCTAGCCCTATTTCTGTAATTCTATATTCTATATATACATATATATATATATATATATATATATATATATATATATATATATATATATATATATATATATATATATATATATATATATATATAT